TAGAGACGGGGTTTCACCATGTTGACCAGGATGGTCTTGATCTCTTGACCTCGTGATCCACCCGCCTTGGCCTCCCAAAGTGCTGGGATTACAGGCTTGAGCCACCGCGCCCGGCGGGTTCCTCATTTATATTTTAGGAGAAGCCTCCTTTTAGACACATCCTCATCTACAGTTTCTCAGTTCCATCACAGGGTCTGTAGTGCAGAGGGCTTTGTGGATCCACATGCTAAGAGAATAGAGACAGAGACAATGTGTTTGCCTTTGGTGACAGTCAGGTCTCTGGAGGCCATAAAGCTTTCTTGGCAAGGGCTCCACAGGCGTGTGTGATAGGCCCTCGTGGAGGGTCTGGTCCTAGCAACCATGGGTAGGGGTTCTGGATGTAGACCCTGTCCAGGGTGTGGAGAAGGCACCCTCTCCCTCCTGGGCCTCTGAGAAGGCCCTGCCCAGCTTTCCTCCTGTCTATTTGCCCATCCGGGGCAGGCGAGGCCCTTGTTCAGGGTAGGCAGTGGCTTCAGGCCCTGGCCCCTCAGAGGTGTTAAGACATAATAACCCAGGGTGGGTCCTGGTCATTTGAAATGTCCTCCTTCCCCGTCAATCTTGGATAGGCATCCTGGGCGCTGCAGCTATCCCCATGTATCTCTGACCCTAACAGAATTGCTTCCAGACCTATATCCTCCCCTAGAAGTCAAAATAGTCACTGGAAGTTAGAGACAGAAAGAGAAAGGGCTAAGAAAATGAGGAAGGGAAGACAAAGTCCATCAGCCCACAAGTGGGGAGTCAGGCAGGCCTGGCCTGGAATCCAGATTCAGCCACCCACATGCTCTGACCCCTGGCAAGCTACTTGCTCCCCTTCACCTCAGTTTCCTCTCTATAAAACAGGGATAATGAAAATTCTGCCCACTCAGGGTCACTGTGCAACTTGCAGGGGGCAAGACTGTGGATCAATTAGCACAGTAAGCATTCAAAGAATGGGCTCATAGGAAAAGATTCAATGACTTCCACACAGGGACCGAGCCCAGCTGTGGGGCTGGGAATTCGGTCCTCCCTGAGGCCTACAGGGATTTATTTGCTAGTTCACCCAGTGGCCTTTCTTCCAGATACCCCTGCAGGGTACATGGAATGGGAAAAACCTGGGGGAGTCCAAACCTGAGCCTTCTGGCTCTGCACAGCAACTACCCAGGCTGGTTAGGGAAGGTGAGTGAGGGAAGAATCTAGGCCATGGTTGGGGCAGCTGTCAGGCTCAGGGTGTCATGGTGACCCCCATGCAGAGACAGACCTGGGCAAAGTTGAGTCCATGCACTCTCAATTTGGGCATAATTGGTTCTTGGGGGAGTGAAAATATTTTAGATACTACAATGATTTGTGGTACTCTACAGCTACACCAGACCTGACAACTTTTATTCCTTTATTTTTTGAGACAGTCTCACTCTGTTGCCCAGGTTGGAGTGCAACAGCACAATTATGGTTCACTGCAGCCTCAGCTTTCCCTGGCTCAGGTGATCCTCCCACCTCAGCTTTTCAAGTAGCTGAGACTACAGGTGTGCGCCACCACACCTAGCTAATTTTTAAAAAAACTTTTTTGTAGAGACGAAGTTCTCCTATGTTGCCCAGGCTGGTCTTGAACTCCTGGGCTCAAGCAATCTGCCTGCCTTGGCCTCTCAAAGTGTTGGGATTACAGGTATGAGCCACTGTGCCTGGCCCTTATTCCTTATTTCTAATGAAAGAAATTAAATTTTAACTTAATAAAATTGATTTAAATAAAATTAAATTTTTTCTCTTGGGGGCAGAGTGGCATCATGTACAGAAGGTGGAGAAACAATGGCACAGTCTGTCTTCCTGTCCAAAGGTCCCTCCTGCTGCCTCTTACCACAGCCTTCCTTCCCCTTGGGCTCTTGGGAGCATTGGGCACTGCTGAACAATTCAATTCAGTCCCAGGCATTAGGGATATGAGCAGTGCCAACCACTCTTACCCTGCCCCTCCCTTGGCTCCTGTGACTTCTCTGTGTGGTTCCCCTCCAGCTTCTGCTCTCCCTATATATGGAGCACTCTCTGCTCCCCATGCTTTCCTCCATGGCTCCAACTCTGCAGCCCCAAACTCTGCCAGATCCCTTTTCTTTGGTGGCCCACTGGCCCTTACCATCTGGATTTTTCCCACTGTTCAGACTCAATGTGTCTGGCACACCTTCTCCTTCCTCCAGAAAGCCCTCACTGTCTACCCCAGCCTGCTTGGTACTTCCCTTCTACAGCATTTAGCTTGAACCACTTCATATTAAAGAACATCCTGGGTAACAAAGTGAGACTTCATCACTACAAAAAATAAAAATCATTAGTTGGAGGCAGTGATATGTTGGGGGCAGCTGTCAGGCTCAGGGTGTCATGGTGGCCCCCATGCAGAGACAGACCTAGGCAAAGTTGCTCCCCTTCACCTCGGTTTCCTATCCAAGTAGGTTGCCTGAAGTCCAAGCTACTTGGGAGGTTGAAGTGGGAGGACTGCTTGAGCCCAGGAGTTTGAGCCTGCGTGCAGTGAGCTATGATTATCCTACTGCACTGAAGCCTAGGCAACAGAATGAGACCCTGTTTCTGGCAAAACAGCAACAGTAACAACAACAAGAATGCAGCTGACCCCTGAACAACATGGGTTTTGAGCTGCGTGGGTCTACTTATACACAGATGTTTTTCAACAAATGGTGTAAAAAATACAGTATTTATGGGCTGCAAAACCTGCATATATGGGCCAACTTTTCATATAGACATTTCCACAGGGCCTACTCGGAAACTTGAATATGTATGGACTTTGCCATTAGCGGGGGTTCCTGGAACCAATGCCCTGTGGATACGGAGGGACAACGGTATATGCCCTTGTATTACTCTCAGAGTTTCATGGGTGACTATTCTATCTTCCCACTTGAACTTTAATTTTTTTGAGGATAAAGACAAAGTCATAAGGTTCTATTTGCTCCTTAATTCTGGACACTAAGGAAGGCAGGTGGGAGGGTCTTTGTGGACCAGGAAGCTCTCAAGGTACAAGGTACAGCTTCCCACTAGGAAGGTCAGGCCAGCCCAGGCTGTGCAAGACTGAAGTGCCCGCCTCCCTCGGGGGGCCCCACCTCACCTGGCTGACTCCTTCCACTCCATCTGGTCTCCGTCATGCTGCAGAGTGTCCATCTCTGTGAAGAGGGTGGGGTTGGGAGCCTCATCTTCCTCCCCCAGGATGTCCTGGAGCTGCTCAGCAGCTGGGGACCCTGCAAAAGAAGGACAGCAGGGTCTGCTGAGTGTCCTGTGCAAGGCAGGAGGGCCACAAGGCCAACAGCAATGGAGTCGGAGCCAAGCACAAGGGGAAAGTATTTTCTAAATCAGTAAAACTAAGTCCAGCTCCTGGGTGAAGCTGGACTCCTGTCACCATGAATCAGAGGTGGGTGAGATACTCTAAGATAAAAGAGATGAAAAGATTTAGTCTGCATTCAGATCCAGGGTCTTGTAGCTGGCAGTGAAGAATGATGCGAAATGGTCAAAGCCAGGGCAGCAGCAAGAACCAGGAAGAGAACTGAAGAGAGAAGTGAGGAGCACTCTGACCCAACTTCGGCTTACCACCAGAGGGGTTCTTCTTCCCACGGGGCCCCAAACCAGCCAACTCCCAACACTGGTCTTGAAGAGGCAGTCAGCCAGGCAAAAGGACAGCTTGCACCCTTGTACCATGTGGGCCCACTTTCTTCCTGGGAAATGTGGCAGTCCATTTCCTGAGCCCCCAGCCTGCTTTCCAACTTCCCATTGGAAGTTACCTCCTGGGTGTCTTCCAGGCACCTCAAAACTCAGCATCCCTCTCCCAAACACACTTCACCTGCGTTCTTTCTCTTTTTCTTCCTTCCTTTTCTTCATTTATCTCTCTCTTTCTCTCTTGAGTGAATGCCTACTATGTGCCAAGCATTATTCTAGGTATTGGAAAATAAAGCTATGAAAAAGACCTATGTGTCCTTGCTCTCGAGCATATGCTCTAGGGACAAAAGACAAATAACAAACAAGTCAACAAATCCATAAATTACCATTTCAATAAGTTGTCTATAATAAACAAAATGACCAGGGGAGCTACAGTAGATAGCTCCCCTGGTCACAAAAGGACTCTCTGAGGAGGGGACACTGGAGCTGTGACTTGAATATGAGAACGAGCCACTTCTGCAGATCTGGAGGAAGAGTGGTCTGCATGTTCTAGACAACCTGTGGTGGAAACGTGCTGGTGAGTGTGGTCCAGCACAGTGAGCAAGGGACAGAGAGATGGCATGACATCAAAGTGGTAACTAATGCTGTGACTGAAGGCATCCCTGCCCACCCCACTGCATAGGCTAGACACCCTGGAGTCATCCTTATCTCACCTCCTTTCCCTTCATCTTCACCCTCATTAAAATTTTTCAGGAACGCAGTCCTTCCTCATCAACCCCACTGCCCTGCCCTGATGCAATCTCTCATTCACTATCTCCTAGGCTTCATCAGGTCTTCTCTTCCTCCAGCCTGTTTCCTCAGTTCATCATTCCTGTCTGTCCTCACTTATTGCTTCATGGATCTCCACTCCTTTCTTCATCACATCCTCCATTCTTTCCCCTTGACTTCCCAATCAAACCAGCCAGGAAATGCCCAGACAAGAATTCACTGGCCCAATCTCCTCTGCAGTTGCATCTGAGGCCTCGAGGGTCTGGGGTGGGGACAGCAGCACAGAGTGGTGGTGTGGTGGAATCAAATGGACTTCCAATCCAGCTAGAAAAGGGTGTGACTCTCGAAGCTGCCACTTATTCATGAGTGAACTCAGTTGAGTGAGCAGGATTACTGGGAGGAATACATCAGGTAAGAGAATGAAATGCCTGAATGAAATGCCAATCAAATGAACAGGGCTTGGAAGGTAACAGGTGCTTAATCCTCACACCAACACCCACACCCAGGCCCATGAGCTGCACTGTAAGGGTTTCCCCTCAGCAGGTCCCAAGTGTAGCAACCTTCCATGTATCCTTGTCAGCACCCTTCCTATGTCCCTCAAGGCTGTCCCTAACATTTGCTTTTCTCTTGAAGCTTCTTGATTCATCTCCTACCCCACTTCACCAAGAAAGTAAAGGCCTCCAGGCACAAAATTCATCAACATCCTTTCTTCCAGCCCCTTGACTCTTTCAGATCCTTATTTCATCAACTAGTCTTTCTTCACCAGGATCTTCAACTTCCCTCTCTCCACCCTCTTTCTCTCAGCCTAGAAACAGCTCTTCCTACCCAAGACACCCTCCCTGACCCTGTCTGCCTCCTTAGCTCTCCGCTTGCCTTCTCCTTTCTTTTACCCACCCTTGCTAAAGTAGTGATCTATGCTCATGGTCTCCATTTCCTTGTTGCCCAATCACTTCCTGGCCTGTTGCCACTGGCTCAGCCCCCACGACGTTAAGGACATTGACAAAGGCAGAGATTTCAAACTGACAGTTCAGAGATGTGTTTATTTTATTTTTATTTGTATTTTTATTTGAGACAGAGTCTTGCTCTGTCGCCAGGTGCCAGGCTGGAGTGCAGTGGCACAACCTTGGCTCACTGCAATCTCCGCCTCCTGGGTTCAAGCAATTCTCCCACCTCAGCCTCCCGAGTAGCTGGGACTACAGGCACAGGCCACCACGCCCAGCTAATTTTTGTATTTTTTAGTAAAGATGGGGTTTCACCATGTTGGCTAGGATGGTCATGGTCTCGATCTCTTGACCTTGTGATCCGCCCACCTCAGCCTCCCAAAGTGCTGGGATTACAGGCATGAGCCACCGCGCCCAAAGATGTGTTTAATTCAGACCTCACAGGGTATGAAGGTTTTTGAAAGTATTGCTGAGATAAAGAATTGTAAGATTTCATACAAAAATCCAGATCTCTGACTTTTCTTGAAAATTCAGATTTTCTGATCACTGTGCCCATGTTCCTGCTTGGCAACAATCAACGAGAGTTGATGATGGTTCCTTCTTAGGTAAACATGCTTTTTAGTTTGTCACAGTCCCCTATACTTCTTAATACTGCCCCATTAATCTCATTTATTGCCATGCACCCAAGTTCACAATTCCTGCCCTCAGATCCCTCTTGTTATCTTATTGTCAAACTAATAAGCTAATAAAATCAATCAAATCAACAGTACTGAAAAGCTATAGTCTGGCTTATCTCTCTGGAACTTCAGAGGTGATGGTTGCCCCCTCTGACCTGAAATGTGACTTGTGGCTCTTATAACATGGCAGCTTATTGATATTTTCTTTCTCTTTGAAGATTCTCTCTCAATATCCTTCCCTAGTTCCTCTTGCCTCGCCAACACTTAAATCTTGATCTTCCCCAGGATTCCTGCTTCATCTTGTTCTCTCCTCTCTTTCCTCACTCTTTCTGGACTAGCTCATGTTCTTTGTGGTGTCATCCTTTAAATGAGGTCACCCTTGTGTCCAGGCAATACACCCATGTGCATTGAACATTCCAACCAACAACTGGACTGCTCCTTCTGGGAGCTCAGCAGCCTTCTCAAGTCACCCTCAACATATTCAAAATAGCTCTGTATCTCTTCTTCCACCAACCCAGCCCTGCTCTCCTTTGATTAATAGCACTTCTAGCTACCTACCCATCTGGACAATGCTGGACTCATTCCTGAAGCTCCTTCTTTCTTATCATCCATGCCCAACTGGACACTAACATCTTTCATTTGCTTCCTAAACATTTTTTAGCTCGCCCCTTTTTTTCCCACCCATCTTGGTTCTGGCTCTCATCATCTGCTTCTAACACTGCAATAGCCACCTACTGCTGCTATTACCTTTGGTTGTCCCAATTAACCCCATTTCCTATGCAGCAGTAGAGTTTGCTTTTAAAACATTTCAAACATGTTCATGTGATGGGCTCCTGGGAGTCATGTGCTCTTTGAATACTAGCACCATAAAATATTGTACACATGAGTTAGAAATCATTTTACTAGCAGAACACACTATTAATTTAACTGTACCAAGATCAGATTAAATGAATTCATTTATTTACATGAATTTTTAATTTCTAAATTTTTCTATTACTTTTTTTTTTTAGACAGAGTCTCACTCTTTTGTTTAGGCTGGAGTGCAGTGGCACAATCCTGGCTCACTACAACCTCTACCACCTGGGTTCAAGTGATCCTCCCACTTCAGCCTCTGGAGTAGCTGGGAATACTAGCTCATGTCTCCATGCCTGGCTAATTTTGTATTTTCTGTAAAGTCGAGGTTTTACCAAGTTGCCCAGGCTGATCTCAAACTCCTAAGCTCAAGAAATCCACTGGCCTTGGCCTCCTAAATGCCAGGATTAAAGGTATGAGACACTGGGCCCAGCCTACTGCTTTTAACCTATATCCTTTCCATTGTCTTACTGATTGCTGGCACTTGCTAGCAGACACCAAGTATTTAAATAAATTTTGTAGACGAAAAACCAACAATTGAGAAAATAACCTTATTTTTTCTTCAAATAGAGAAAACTGGAACTGCTTGATTCTGAGGGGCCACACCAATTCTCCCTGGGATCAGAAATCAGTAACTACTCTTTTAAAATGTAGTTTTGATGCATCTTGGAGGATAAAAAAGAAAAGAAAATGTAGATTTGATTATGTTATTCACCAGTTGAAAAACTTTCAATGTCTCTCTATTGCTTAAGCCTAGAGGTGAGTGACATGGCTCAAACCATCCCTTGTAATCTAGCCCTAACCTGCCTTTCTAGGTTCTAGCATGTCCCTCACACAGCCACCCCAACCCCAGCCACAGTAGACCACATACAGCTCTCTGAGGAGGAGGGCATGCCACTTCCTGGGCCCTTGTGCCTGCCATTCCATAAGTCTGGAATCCCCTTTCCCCTTCAAGGCCAGGCAAGAAGGCAAATAAATGGACGGGTCCTGGGGAGAGGAGACAGGCAAAGAGCAGGATATGAACCAGCTCTGCCTGGGGCATTACCTGCTCCCTGGAATAGCTGAGTGCTGGGGTCCCCGGCTGTCGGCGCCGCCTCTGGCCCCAGCCTGCTTCCACTACCGCCTCCCTGGCTGCTCCTTCCACCGGTCCTCTTCTTCACACAACAAACTCACTTTTGTTTCCAGTTAAGCACCAGGGGAGCGTAGGGAGAGAAGAAGGGGGGTTTGGGGGAGAAAAAGAGAGAGAGAAAAGGAATGTGTGGAGGTGGAGAGAGCAGCTATATGTAGAGAGAATATACACATAGTACGTGTAAGTGTGAGAGATATTATACAAAATTGTTTGAGAGAGAA